GTTTAGGGTTTAGGGTTAAGGGATCATGGGACTTAGTAAGTAGGGTTATAATTAGGGTAACCATACTTATACCCCCAATTAAGGGACTTATCACCTTACTTACTAAGTCCCATGATCCTCCAAGTAGGCAAATTCCCTCAAAGGGGTGCCTTGAAGGGACTAGGGTTCGTTTGGGTTTAGGGTTTAGGGTTTAGGGTTTAGGGTTCGTATGGGCAGTTTCGGGAGGGGGGAGGCCTTTCAAAGGTCGTCGCGAGACGCTGCGGTAGTTTGGCCTTGTTCATCTTGGAGGCTTCTGATTTTTAATGGGGCTTCCATTGATGTGCCTTAGGGTTGGTCGAGGGGATAGGGTACCGCTGCTTCACCTTGCATAATTACCTGTTCTTACTTCGTAGGGCTCTGGATTCAAAAGTTATGGCATAATATGTCCCAAATCCAGTTCTAATTAGTAAGGCTCCCCATATTTGGCTCCAGAACTCTCAAGGCTTCGCTTGTTCGTCGTTTCAAGTTGCTGCCTGGAAGTTATCCACACCGCCGCCTCCTCCTCCTCCTCCTCCTTCTCCTCCTCCTCCTCCTGCTCATCCTATTCTTCATCCTCATCCTCATCCGACCCAGTTCTCATCCTCATGCTCGTCGTCGTTACGATATTCACCAGTTTGCATGTCGCACTTTCAACCTCGTTCCCGATGCAAATCGTTGCAGATTCATCGTTGCATTGAAACTGTCCACACAATCGTTCATGTTACGGGTGGACATAGATTGCACGGCCTCGGAAACGGGAGGCGTCTTTGAACGTCTCTCAGGTTCCCGGTGGCTCCTTCCCGGTGAACATCTACGGCTGCCTGTTTGGGGGGTCGATGTCCTTCTTCCGCTCAAGTCTCTACCAGAGCTACTTCGAGGCCCTGTCCTCAGTGGGTTATGCTCTAGTTGACTGTAGGGTTTAGGGTTTAAGGGTCCAGGGGTTTAGGGTTTAGGGTTTAGGGTTTTATGCTGTGCTCTTGCTATATCATATGATAGCATACTTTGAAAGCAGTGTGTCTCAGACATGCGCCACTGGTAGCTGCTAGGTCCTGCTAGGTCTTGTTGGGCTGCTAGGGGTTTCACTTCAAGATGCAGGAGTTGGACTCATGGCCTGGATTTGATGAGTACTGCTGGTCCCCTCAGAGCATCTTGGCCATTGCAGCAGCCTTCTTCTTGAATGACAACTTCATCACGGAGATCTGGATCTATGGCCGGCACCAAAACAGCAGCAAGACGCCGGACGAGGGCTGGAACGACTCCAAGCGGGGCATCCTGCCGCAAAGCCAGCGCCCCACACATCTCAAGTCTTCAGGAGAGTGATCCCTCATCCAATGCTTCCCAGCACCAACTACCACGAGCACGTGTTACCAACCACGGTGAGGACATGGACACCACTGCTAAATGGCCCGCAGGCAGGCCCCTCTTGCCTGCAGCCTCGTTCTGGATTCGTCATCCGACTGGGAGCAGCGCCACAGCTTCCCGACCCAAGCGCCTGGTGCTTGGTAACGGAGCCGTCAAGAATCCATACACGCTCGAAGCGAGTGTGCGGTCGCTTCAGCGACAATCCCTGCAGAGTCAGTTGCTGATGATCAGTTTTTCTGCGAAGATGTGTGGGGCTGACTGCGGGAGCATTTATACTTGGACTCTGGGTATGGAGTGGTTCGATGGAGCCATGCTTTGCATCTTGCTGGAAGCGGCCGGACCGCGACAGGACAGCCTTGGACGCTGCATAATCCATGCGCTTTCCGAGGACCCCCGGAACCCAAATCAGGGCAACGGCACGTGATAAAGTCTGTGCAACTTCTGCAGTTAGCCTGAAGACTTTAACCGTTCAAGAAAATGCAGGGCTTTGACTGTTGGTAAGGTACCTCTTTACGTGAATATACCCCAAGACCCTAATTTCAGGCCTTTGCGTATTATCTAACAATGTGATGACTTGAATCAACCCTTTCGCCAGGAGCTTCCGCTACAGCTGCTGCCTTGCTGCTTTCAAGTGGTGATGTGAGCACCAGTCGAGGAGACCACCCTAACCTCCCGAACCTTAAAGCCCTAACTTCGAACAGCCTCCTCGACTGCAAACCCAAATCTCGAGAAAGGCAAGGTGCAGAAGCGCCGTGCGGCTCGTGGTTTCAAAATTATGTGCGGGAGCTGATTTGCAGTGTGGTTGTATGCTCAGAGACCCGTATCTACTTATCTAAGCCTCTGAGATTCTTCCTCGTCAGTCATGGAGATGCTTGCAAGGCATGGGCAACGTTTCAGTCTGTTGTTTGCCGAAGCAGAGTTCGACGAATCGGTAGTTGGTTTCTCTTGAGACACTACATGGCACTTTGCTCTTCCAGGTCTCAGTTGCAGTTGCATCAAGGTCTAAGCGTGCCGTCTCCAGCCCAAGGCAAGCTTGCCTGTGACGTCAGCCCCAAGACTTCCATAAAGAGGAGCTGATTGGGTGTAAGTCATACTGCCTATCACTGCGACGGGATCATCGGTTCGCACTGGCGTGTCTTTGCGTGACCTTGCCATCTATCCAGGCTACCAGGTCTGTGCGCAAACCCCATCAACACAAGCCAAAGGTTGCAGCATAATCCGAGCTGCCGAACTTGGGCTTGCCTCTCAGCGCGGCTAGTGCCGCTTTCGCCTTTGCTGCCATGCCGCCAATTCACTCTCTCGAGGCCTGCGATTCAGGAATTTGCCATGTAGGTTCAGGGACAGGCGGGATGTGACGTATAGCTCTTCGACAAGGCTTACCTTAGCCTTTAGTAGGGCCGGATACTACATTATGGTTCAATCTACACTTCACAGGAGTGCTACAAACACTGGGCTTTGAAAGCTTAGAGTAAGCACTAGCTTGGTGATCACGGTTCAGGTTGTCTGGGATTAGGAGATCAGTTTGTAGTCAGGGTGATCAGTTTAGGGACCTTCATGGTTTGTGTAATTTCCTCGGGATTGTAGGGGGCAAGTTGTTCTTGTATGGTTGAATGGTTGAGTCTTGGAAACCCTAAGCCATGAAGTAAGTATGAGTTTTTGCAAAAGAGTGGATGGATGAGCCAGTAAGCAGGTACGTAGATACGACATAGATGGTCACCGGACAAGTAGACATGCATGCAACCAGACAACTGGACAACTATGCAAACAAACAAGACACATCGACAAATAGACAAAGACGCGAAGAGACACTAGGTCAATAGATGAGTAGACAAGGAGATTAATAGTTGACAGGTGAGCACAAAAACGAATATGAAGACATACCAATCAGTAGATGAACAAAACATACATACACAAATGCACATGTACAAGCACATTTTGCGAAAGAGATAATATCTCTTCTTCGTCAGTAGTCGACATCGGTCGGGTCCGAGGGCAACAGTCAGCCGTCAAGTGAAGAGCTGTGTCTGAGGAGTTCCCAGAGCTGCGCGTCGCGGTGGCCTTAAAGGCCGCGGCATGATGACGAGCCCAAGGCATAAGCGACATGATTTCATTCCAGTAAATCCTGTCATGACGACGGCCGCGCGGGCTTTGGTGCGCGTTGTGCTCTTTTTGCCGTCAGCTGTCGTACCTTTTGTCACCCATGCATGCAATGGTGCGCCGTTTCATTCGGGTCAACCGAAGCTACTGTGCTTGGCGAACCCCAACGCAGTCTGCTCTGTTCCGCCGCACCCCGCAGCGCAGTCCCGAACGAAAGCAGCTAGTCAGTTAGTCAGTCACGTTTTGAGACTACGTACCAAAGAATGCTCCAGTCATGTTGATCCATGTGTTCTACATGACGCCTTATCTAGCCGTTCTTTGTTGGCACTGCAAGGGCCTCTCTACTACAGCCAGTGGGCCCTAACCCATCCGTGCTTGACACAGGCGCCGCGGCGCCAGCGTTTTCCAAAGGGCAGCAGCTCATCTATGACCAGATATGTTTGTCCAAACTCGAGAAGTAGCGAGCCTAGGCGTGTGAGGAGGGCAACAGTACACCGTTCAATCGCAAGCACCCTGGGTTGCATGGACGGTTGTGGCTCAGTGTGACTTTTGCGGGCGAAGTTTCAGTGCCCAGCAGGAAGAATCCATATCCAATCCGATAGTTGGGGGTTGATACATGGTATGCTACACTCCCCCACATGTTTTGCAGGGACTGAGCCAATTTTCCGATTCAGGCTCTGCAACAGGGAGACAGGTCTGTTCGCGGAGCTTCGTGACACAAGAAGGTTACTTGCGACGCTGGTAGAGATGGTTCAGATATCGGCAGGGTGTGTTCAACGCGGGATGTTTGAGTACACGACAGAACAAATCATATCCGAGACATTTGAGAAACCCTGCGTAGTATTCTGCCTGCGGAGGTATCCGAAAGTCTGGTCAGGCAGGGGAGCAGGTTTTGTTGTGAGCGGCACATTTTTCTTTCGGGACTTGGAGGCCTGGGGCTAGTTACGTATCAGGCTTTCCTCCCACGAGCCTCAGGGAAGCCAGTAGACAAAAAACATCAGAAGGGGTGTTTTTGGCGACGTTTCGGTATGGCATTGCTCATGTGGCGCACATGACGGTTCAACTGTTGGGAGTTCCAGCCCCTGGAAAAGCGCCAGGTTACAAAGCCTACGAGCCCGGCCACTTCGACCTTGTCTGGGCCTCGCCTGGGTGCACCGAATTCTCTAGGGCCTTGACGAAGTGCCCTCGGCGGCCAGAGGAGGGCGACCGCTTGGTCTTGAAAACCATCGAGATCGTCGGCCACATGTGGGCCATCGAGAACCCGCGCACCGGGCTGCTGAAGACTCGTCCCTACATGCAGGCGCTGCCCTGGGACGATGTGTCCTACTGCATGTACGGCCATCGCTACCAGAAGACCGGAACAACCTCCCTTGCGTTCCCAGCCAACTGGTCAGGGCCACACCCAACTTGTCTGCTGTTGTCTTCAGAGAGTCCATTGCCTCGCAGCTTTAAGTACGTTGCGCTTCGGATTATGTTCTCTCTGTAAATCTCGTTGCTGGCAAGTGGTGCTTCACATAGCTGAGATAACAGCCCCTGGATGGGTTATTGCACGACCAGAAATGCAGTGCAGTGATGGTGCCGATCAAGCATGATCAAGCAAGTACATGTATATCCGTATAACAAAGAGAAATCTGCATGTATGTGTACATACATATGTCTATGTATATGTTTATGTACATGTATATGCATATGAATATGTATATGTTTACATATATACATGTATATACACAGATAGATACATGTATGTCGGTATAATTCCGCGCATAACTGCTTGCTCCCTCACTGTCCCTATACGGTTGGCAGCCTGCAGTGGCCTCTCAGGCCCACACTGCTTACAGGGAAGCCGGGGGCCCCAACTTGTCTGCTGTCCTGTTTCCGGAGCCCTCCCGCGACTGCTCCCCTATACTATGTGGGGCTTCGCACGATGATCTCTCGACAGCTGGCGAAGTGCCGAAGTCATGCGAAGGTAAATCGCAAGTTAACACCATAAGATAACCCCAAAGCCTTGAAGCCCCAAACCGTAACGCCCTAAACCCTAAACCCTAAGCGTGAAAGCCATAAAGCCAACTGTCGTTAGGATAGTCCATCTCTCCATCGCAGCATTCAATCACACAGGGCTTGTACTTGCATGCTCCAAGAGTTTTGCAAGATGCCGCCCCCGCCGGTCTAGCTAACTTGGTGTTACCCCACTGCATGGTAGGTGTCGCCATGCTCTTAATCGTTATCGGATGCCCTTAACCCTGCAACTGGAAAGCTTCGGCCCAAGCTCTAAGTCGTTGAAGGCTGGAGTCGGGAGAGTTGTCCATTCCCGTCTGAGTTTTCACTAGTTGGTCAAAGACTTGGCAGGCCAATGATTCGATGTAGCATTCTCTGTCCGCCTGTGGTCCTGGCCATAACTACAAGACTCCACGAATGCTCTCGGCGGTTTCTGCCAGCCAGGAAGCTCGTCTAACCCGTCATTTTGGACTGGAAGTTCCATTAACCCGTGACCTTTGCCTCCATGCGCTGCGTCCCTGTCTCCTTCGTCAAAGCCTCCATTGTTGTTTCAATCCGGTTCTTTTCCGCACCATTCACGAGGAGCTTGACTGCCTCCCGTGGAAACAGTTTGCTGTTGTTGCCGTTTCTACGTTTCTACAATGTCAACCACAGTAGTATCGGTGCTTGCAACAACTGTCCCAAAAGCTCTTGTTGCTAGCCAGTCGCGTTTCATTGCTAGATGTGGGGATTTCGCAGGTCGTGCCCCATTTTTGCAGTGATTCAACTCGGGCACACAGCCAGATGTTTCGACATTCCTGGTCAGCTAACACTGCATGCTTACCTCGCAGCGGCTGGCATTCTCAAACGCCCCAGTTGTAGATCGCTCTATCCTTCTTGACTTCCATGATGTCTGCAGGTGCAGTCAGTCCCTCAATGCCAAGAAGGCTGGAAGCGGAATTCAGCGATGTCTGCAGGTCTTCCCTTGCTCCTTCCCTTGTGAGCCGGTTGTTCGGTGATTGGTCTTGGCACCGGAGTGGAGCACGTTTGAGGAGCTCGAGCGCAAGCCGTGCAAGACCGACGAGGTCTTCTCCAAGGTGGGGTTCCTGGAGTGCGAAGTGGCTTTCGTCCTTGAACATAGAGCTCAGCTACAAGGAAATGTCGGAGCAGCATCCTGAGCCCAAGTTCAAGGCCGGGGCTTGGAGGGTAGATGAAGATGTGAAAGCGCTAGGGGCGACAAAATTAGGTAAAGACGTTGCGGATGGTTCCAAACCTTGGGCTTAGCCTCGTTTAGGAGTTCGGGATATGAAGACTCGTGGTTCACGCCTGACCTCAACGCCTCAATCTCGAACTCCCCAGCCCGGCAGTCCAGAACGCCCTGCCTCAGCTCCTGAATTTCAAGACTCAGTACCCCTCATGCCTACCAACCAAAGCACTGGTACCGTTCAGCGGAGGCAGCAGCCACTAAAATCAATCGCACGTTGCGCTTGCTTAAGGGAATTCGTTGCCCGAAATCCGCTGTAATCCCAAAATCTCCTATGCACTACGCCTGAAACCCGAAACTGTGATCCCAAAATCCCTGACCTACGCGAAGACCCAACTGCCCTTAAAATCCTAAACCCCAACACCTACTGAGCCTCTGACCCCTAAATACCGGAACGCTGGCACAGATCTCAGCCAGCCATATGGCGAAACTACAGATGATGTATCACTACTTGAAGGATCATGGGACTT